ACCAACAACGTGGGCAGCAAACCTCTCAGAAAAGTTTGCACAATACACCTTTAAATACAATGGTTCTAAAGCCTTGGCGTTATGCGTACCATAAGCTTTGGCTCTCTCGTCTTATTATCTGTGCGTTAACTGGGACACCACACGAGCGGCTGCCAAATCAAGCAAAGGAGACGAGGACAGTTTGAGAAATCCTGATGTCGTATCATTCTCCATATGCATCCAGGGAACAGATTGCGTGGCCAAGTGTATACAGTATATATATCCTCCCAGGCGCAGGCATTTATTTCTTTGGCACAGCTGAATGTTTGTAAAGAAAGTTCCTTCGTGGTGCCAGGTCTCAGAGCTCTGTCTTTAAATATAGCGCTCCGCACAAAGAGCCTCATTATAATCAGACACGTTCATTATTTGTTGATGTATGCTCTGTTTTTACAAGTACATGTGATACCCGAGAGCACACGGCAACGCCTCAGAAATCACATCCGTTATATTAGAAAAGAAAGTCTGGCTAAGATGTTATATGATTTCATTAGGACTTACAGTTTCTTTGGAAAACTGCAATGAAAAAAGACAGTGTCTATTAATGAAAGAAAGTTAGTGTGCGTGTGGATGTGTATGTGTTGATGTGTGTTTGAGTGTGTGCGCATGTCTTTGCATGTGTGCGTGTCTGTATGTGTGTGTGTGTGTGAGTGTCTGTGTGCCAGTGTGTCTTTATGTATGTGTGTGCGTGTCTTTGTATGTGTGCATGTGTATTTGTGTGTGTAAGTGCATATATACTGTACATGTAGGTGTGTGTCCATGCAGTAGTAATTTTAAGACATTGTATCAAGATTCTTTTATACATGCCTTTCATTTTTTATTTTGATAACTTGTTTGCAGTTGAGCCAAAGAAATTTCAAAGTTACTTACAATGTAAGACATTTAATTCTGAACTACTGTATCTTTCAAGCTTTCAAGCTTTTAGAGTAACATTCCCTCTGAGAAACAGATGCATTTAGGCACCTGCAGGTGGGCGGGCACTTGGCGTCTCCATAGGGGCCCAGGATGTACTCGATTCTGAGGCTTCATGAAGGATAAAAGCTTTTTTTTGTGTGTGATATATTCACCTCAAAACATGGCCCAACACGAGTTGGTTGAATTTAGTTGTAAAGTAACTGAATTAATAAATCCAAAACAGTTTCTAAGCGTGTAAGTATCAAGACAAATATCAATATTGTGATTATGTGACAATGGCCACATTAATACATGTTTATGTTCTAGGACAGGGGTGATGTCACTCGTTTTTGTGTGCAATGGGCCAAAAGTGTAAAACAAATGTATGAAGGTATATTTTTTAGTTTGGAATGAACCAAGACTGGGCCAAAGATGAAGAAGACATTCAGTAGTATGAATTCAGTATTCAGTAGCCAATAATGTATTTTTTTTATTTATTTAGTTAAGTGTTTGTTTCAAATTCTAGAATTATTAAATAAACATAAATGGTTGCTTTTTGAGACCATTAGCTTCATAACATAACATAGTACCCATATTTTTATACTGCTTCAAATTTGTCATCATAAGTTCAGGGGCCACAAAAAATGTCCTTGTTCTCAGACCATCCGCCACATGGTCCTTGGAGGTCATGGATGTGTCTGAGAGAAGGGCGGCTCCCGAGACTCTTCGCTTATTTATTTTTTACTGTATTGTTGTAATATTTATGGCATATAAAAGCAGTTATTCACCTTTTTGTTTTATCTTCATTTATCAACATTTATGGACATTGGTCTCTGCCCCTTATGGACCAATCGCTCTATGTGTTTTTTTCATCATGGCATTCCCTGTGTTTGAACTGTTTGATTCTCTGACCTGTGTTGGCGAATCAACAACTTTGTAAAGTCCTCCGAGTTTATTACTGTTCTGATTTAGGGCTGGATAAAAATACATTGAATTGAATTGAGCTTCACGCATCCTCGTTTCCCTAGTCCTGGATGAACCTGATGCTAAACTGCAGATATGTTTTGGCAAAGCAAGAGCACTTCCAAGGTGACAAGCAGATGGTGCACTCACCAAAAAGTCACATTTGCTTTGTTTGTCTTGTCAGCAAAAATCTGACACCAAAGTGACTGCAAACTATTCCAAAAAGGAGACAATGTCCTCTGAGCATTTGGAGATGAAAAATACTGTGTTGTCAGCGGAAGACTTTTGATTTTAGGATGACAGGAAAACACGACTCCCTTTTCTACTTTTTACGTTTGGTCGTACGGTCCGCCATCTGGACTGAGTTTGTTCATGTGCAATATCGGCACAAGAACCCATGACTCTGCACTTTTGTTGGAGTTTCAAAACCAAACCAGGTAAAAACACATCAAACGGTGCGACAACAAAGTGTGACGAAGCCAATCTCTCCTCCATCACAGGTCGCTGCGTAGACGACGTGATTAGAAGAGCTTTTATTTAACACAAGCACGTCGCGGCTTTCATGTGTGCGACTTAAAAGCATATTGATGTTCATTAAGAAGCAGCAGATGGAGAGGCCGCGGTTTGTCTTTGTGCGCCGGTCATTAGCGGTGGACTTTAGTGTACTCAAATACTTTGTCAGCACTGCATCTGGAGGAGCGACGACTTGTGGCTGTGAATGAGGATGCTGATGCAAGGCTCCATAGATGAATATGAGATCTATTCTATTCTTCTTCACAACAGGACTCCCAGAACTGTGAAAATACAAGAACACTTATTTTGAGTACTCCCATTCAAACCAATGGAATTCTGAAAGCGTATTCCATTGATTACATACTTTTAAAGGTGTCTGTGAACAAAGTTGATCCTCATTCGCCTCATTCTCCGTCTTTGGGCCAAATACCGTCGTCACATGTTTACACCAAAAACACATTTTCTCCAAGTTGACATGAAGCTAACACAAAAAAGCTTAGTCGTGTATTTACTGTCCATGGACAACACGCTGGACTCGGAGAGAGGCTGCATGTGCTGATCATAGACGACGCTGATTCGCTGGTTCAGTTTCTCCCTGCTGTCAATCACCTCTTGGAGGCGGGCTTTTGACATCACAGATTGGTGTACTGTACCTCATGAATTGAATCAGTTCTGTGCCTCTCGAGAATGAAAGAGAACGATTGCTGTCTAACTAAAGCTTGACAGAATTAGTGAAGAAACTACTCTGGGCATGTGTACGAGGCCAAATAGCACTGTAAACATGTTTAAACCAGAGAAAAGTCAAAAAGCGTAATATGGCACCTTTAAGTAAGTAATTAGCCTTTCAAATTTTTTGTTGAAAGCATTTAAGAGTAGCAGCAAGAATGGAAACTGCAACAACAGGTTTGTGTGGTTTGACCTGCACTAGGACTGAAAAACCAGCACCGCTAATGCCACTTTTTTATTGTACATATATATCCTGCACAGACTATATTTTTTTAGTCAACATGTTGCATACTTCATGTCTTTTTGCACAATCAGTGCCAAATGTGACATGTACATTTCTCCATTGTGAGATCAATAAAGTTTATCTTATCTTACCTTTTGTTTGGACAAAGGAGTAGTATTGCTCTTCTATGTAACTGCTGAAGCGCACACAGCATGTGTGTTTATGTTTGTTATCGGCTATTGTGCATGTCCACATGTATGAAGGGAGAGTGGCAAAGTCATCGATGCCAGAGTTCATACCTTTTCCTTCACACAGCTCTGACACAGCCCCCCCGCCGTGCAGCCTTTTTGTTCCACTCTGGAGGCTGTTTTTTAAAGCTTACGTTTTTAATCCTGTGAAACACAGACACCGTGTGAACAAAAGGACAATCCGTCAACTCTACCGTCTTACTGTCACAGCGTCTCACAGCTCCTCAGAAGGAAATATGAACCTTCCTGAACTAAGTTATTGTTGAACTTTCAAGATAAGCATCTTCATGACGCAGATATAAATAGTATAATTATGTTTCTTCTCAGACCTTTTGCTTATTTCATTTCAGCCTGTGCTCTTTTCATCTTTCATCTTATCAACACCCGCAAAATTCATTAGAAGCTAAAAGTCATTTCACAGCAGATTGCCTTCTCTGCTCTTCTTAAACTGTCTGATTCTTGGTACGTATAGGGAGACTATGTTTATGGGGTGAGCAGTCCTCTACCTTTGTGGGCGGAGATGGGTGGTACGTGAAACCAACATTTCTGAACACTGAAGCCTCAAATGCAGGACAATAGAATTTACAGGTAGAATTAGTCAAACAGGCAAGACTCAATGGAATTAAGCTGTTGTTTAGATAATGCATGTGAAAGCCAGATTCTGTCAGACCTACGAAGTATGTGCACAACAATAGTGCAACACATTTCCCCTACCACTAAAAACACACTAGGTTAAATCCTCCAGCTCTGTTAGTCCTGACCAAGCCGAGCATCAACATCTGGAGACGGGTTCCCGGGCGCTGTTACTACGGCGACCACTGCTCCTGACGTAAGCCTTAGTGGCATCAGGATGGGTCAAATGCAGAGGACAAATTTCCCTACAGGGACAATAAAGTGCAGTTTGATGAAGCTTTTGGTTTCACACATAAAATCACTTAATTGTTCCAACAGATTGTTGTAACGCATTACAATACATTAAATTAAAATACATTACACTACACTACTTTTGTAAGGTGCTACTCCCAACAATAACTGGATGTATAATTCCCCCCTTACGTCCTTGTTGTAGATAAAAGTGTGGTTGTGTTTTCAGTACATAGACGACTCCCTGCCCCCAGAGTCTCCACATCTGTACGGACTTCATCCAAACGCAGAGATTGGCTTTCTGACGCAGAGCTCCGACAAGCTCTTCAGGACCATCCTGGAGCTGCAGCCACGGGACGGGGGTGGGGCAGAAGGAGGAGGTGCGACACGAGAGGACAAGGTAAGACACACACACTCATGAATATGAGTTTGATATCATTGTTATGTATTTATATGAACAAAATGATGTATAACATGCCATATTAGCGCAGAATCTCATCAGGGGCCGCACTGACGTTGTTTCATGTCCACTTGAGGCTAAATGGGGGCCGTGTGTTTGGGGCACTTGACAGAAGTAGCGCCTAATAATCATTCTGAATAAAACTTTGTTTGGAGGGAGAGCACAATGACACCACACCATGTGCAGATGCACACAGCACCTCCCCTGCTCTGAGGCCGCACACACACATACACACACACACCTGCAGAGATGTGGACAGAGTGGGGACATGTTGGTGCTGGGATGACATTCTGAGTGTTTCCTGCTTCAGTGCAGCTGTGAAGCCGCTCTCCTCTGAGACTAAAAGCTTTCCCTCGTTTTGCACCCGTGTCACATTTGAAAAACATTTAAAGACATCTGCAGCTACATAAAGAGTCTGTTAACCACCGCGCTGGCATCGGACTTTCTTTTCCCCGACAGTGTTTCTCAACCTCTTCTGCCTTGTGTTCTCTGTTGTGACTACCCCTCACCCCAGGGGTCTCAGTGTGTTCTGGGACACAGTAAAATCATTGACTGGAGGCTACAACTTTTACATTTGGCTGTTCTGCAAAGGCCTCATCATTTTCTTTATGGAAAGTTTGATTTCCTGCTCATCTTTTGCAACAGATTTGTTTTTCCTTATCCCATTATTTAGGTATTTAGAAAAAAATATTAATTGAGTTTTAGACTTTTCTGAACATACGTTAATCATGTGTTCCATTTTTAATATAATGAATTATGCATTTATTTTTTCATAAGCATTATCTTTAAAATGACCTCCCTATACCTTTCACTATCTTTGCAAGTTCATTTCAATACTTCAAGACATAATTTCAAGCCCCTGCAGAATCCATGTACCCCTGATTGAGAAACACTTTCCTGCTGTAAGATTGTTTTACTAATTGCTGAAATCATGTATGACAGAAATATGATTTTGTAAAGTTTGATACAACTGGTTTTGTCCGAAAAGAGTTTTGTCAAAGTAACACAGTTTTGAACCAATCTTTTTAGAAAACATGAAATCTTTAACCATGAGTATCATGGTTTTTTGTTCATGTTTCTCACGTAGCACCAATCACTGTTTCTGAACATACAGTTCATTGAAATCGCCTGGACTTTTACTGTATTGAAGGACATATTTAGTCCATGTTTCTTTATTGTCCATAAATGCCCCAGCTCATCTGGTGTCTTTAGACCCTTGTGCATCAGCAGGAGAGTCACAAAGCCAGTGGGAAAAAAAGCCGAGAAACCACCTGGGAGACCCACAGTGAGAGGGGGATACGCTACGTCATGGAGGGGCCTGACTGTAGATTCAGGCCCCTCCATGACGTCATACCGACAGGTGAAGAAGAGAGGAGAAGAGTGTCTCTTTTGTTTGATATCTCCACAGTCCAACTGAGGGCGACAGTGGCTCAGTTGGTAGAGCATTGGCCTTTGAGCCTGAAGGTCATGGGTTCGAGCCCACTATAAGACCTACTTCATGACTCCCACTGATGACTGCTGTTGTTGTTTCCTTGGGCAAGACACTTAACCCCACTTTGCCAGATGCCCCTGCTGAAAGATCTCGATTCCTGTGGACTGCACCTGCAGGAGGATCAGTGAGGGACTGGTGCTATGTGTACTGGGTGCAGCTCTGGCTGCCACCCCCCCAACCCAGAAATGGATTAAGTGGAAGAAAATGGATGGATGGATGGATCTCCACAGTCCGGCTCAGAAGCGTTTTCCTTCTGTTTCTGTAAATTGCTGAAATCACTTTGGTCCTTTTGATACTGTAGTGATAAATCAGCTAGCTGATATTGGTGCTTCTGGCCAATACTGATATTACAAAAGCCTAATATCGGCTGTTTTCAAAAGACACGGGGAGAACATGCAAAATCCACTCAGAAAGGTCCTGTTCCGACCGGGAATCGAACCCAGAACCTTCTTGCTGAGATGTGAGAGTGCTACCCTCTCAGCCACCCTGCCGCCCAAACTAGTCCGCCTTGTCAGCCAGACTTGCTCTTCAACTCTTCTCTTTTGCGAGGCTCTGCCGGGGGTAAACCGGCAAATCATAATCATATCTAATGTCCAACATGCATTAAATGTCATTCTTCTGCAGAGTCTTACAGTGTGGCAAAAAAGTATTTAGTCAGCCACCAATTGTGCAAGTTCTCCCAATTAACACAATGACAGAGGTCTGTAATTTTCATCATAGGTACACTTCAACTGTGAGAGACGGAATGGGGGGAAAAAATCCAGGAATTCACATTGTAGGATTTTTAAAGAGTTTATTTGTAAATTATGGTGGAAAATAAGTATTTGGTCACTTCAAACAAGGAAGATCTCTGGCTCTCACAGACCTGTAACTTCTTCTTTAAGAAGCTCCTCTGTCCTCCACTTGTTACCTGTGTTAATGGCACCTGTTTGAACTCATTATCTGTATAAAAGATAGCCCAAATGTAGCCCAAAACGATATTTCCACCACTGATAATCTCTTTCGATCTGGGGCTCTACACAAGATCTCATCCCGTGGGGTCAAAATGATCATGAGAACGGTGATCAAAAATCCCAGAACCACACGGGGGGACCTGGTGAATGACCTGCAGAGAGCTGGGACCAGAGTAACAAAGGTTACCATCAGTAACACACTACGACGACAGGGAATCAAATCCTTCCATTGAGCTGAATTTCTGTAATTGACCAAATACTTATTTTCCACCAAAATTTACAAATCAATTCTTTAAAAATCCTACAATGTGAATTCCTGGATTTTTTTTTTTCACATTCTGTCTCTCACAGTTGAAGTGTACCTATGATGAAAATTACAGACCTCTGTCATTATTTTAAGTGGGAGAACTTGCACAATTGGTGGCTGACTAAATACTTTTTTGCCCCACTGTAACTGCTAATTAATGCTGTAGCAGATTATTATGCCAACCAATAGATATAATTCCAATAACCCTTTTGTCTGTTGTGTATCTCCAGATTGAAATATGTACATGCAGTGTGCCTTTATTCAATTCAATTTATTTTGGTACAGTCCTAACTCAAAACAGCCGTCATCTCAAAGGACAACACAATTGCCAATTTATCACAAACAGGTTCAGACAATTTGAATACTGGAAATGCAATATTAAGAAACACAAAGAAGCAATTGGTCCGTGAGGTACTGGGATATCCTTAAATAGCCATATATGCTCATAAATACAACAGTCACTGTTAGTTTTTGGCCTTCTCACGGCACAAAGTGAAAGGATGTGGTCATAGTCCTTGGGTCGATGCCTTCCCGTCACCGTGCGCTGGAGCTCAGACTGTAGTGTCCATTACAAGCCTGTGCGTGGCCTGCTGTAAGTAAGCACACATGACTTATTCATGCAAGCAGCTCCTGTGTCTGCACCGTGTGATGGAGACACAGAGGAGATGGCAACACTCCGGCAGGGTAAACAAAACACACACACGTTAGCACAACCAGGGACGACTGTAGGAAGCACCTTTTAGATCACTCATCAGGCATCAGCAGTATGTGTCACTCGTACCAGCCCGGGACATTGATATGATCATTGCAAAAGCTATTGGTTAAAAGTATATAGATCTGGTTTGGTTTTTTTCCTGCTCCACAAGGACAGACAAGAAAACATTACACTGTTAATGTCACTCACAGCCTGACTGGACATATGCAGGTCATGGATATCGGAGTTGTTGGAGTTGTAAAAAGATAACACTGTGGACTGTGGTGATGATCCAGGACACTCTAACATTTTATAACATTTATGGACATTTACCAACACCCTGATTTAGGGTTAGGGTTATACAAGAATAAATTGAATTGAATTGAATTAAAACACATGAGTTATTAAGAAGTTCAAGGACTGTAGGCAGCAGAAACTCAAATCAAATAGAGCTTAAATCAGGACGACAGCATGACTACAGAATATCGACATGCACACTGACATTTATCATGGTAGGAGGTTGAGACAAAATCCTAATTTCATCATTACTTTACATATTGCTCAATCTAGTTCAAACTCAATTTAGCTCGGGGCTGTGGAAGGATGAGTCTGGCTGAAGCGGGGCCACATACCATATCACATGTTTGTATGTTGCAAAATATGTGAAATATGTACAATTTTACACCACAGCTTTGCACACGCAAGTCAGCTCCTGGATGGAATTTACTGCTTTAACAATAACATAAACATTTGAGCTTAAACAGAAAAAGAGAACAAAAAACGGAATTTTTTGCATCCGTGACTCTTTTGACCAAATAATTAATCAAGGAATGGGGCTTAGTATTGTAGCCTGCTGCCTTGAATAATTCCATTATAATGTTGTTATTATTATTTCATTCAAGGTTCAATGTTCACGGTAATTGTGAAATTATTGCCCTGACTTTAAATGAGAAAAAGGAGCGTTTTATTAACAGCTTTAACGTCCGAGCAAAGTCTGTCTGTCTGAGAAAGTCTTATAGAGACTGTCTCCACACATAGACTTTGGAAACATGGCCACATAATGAACGCATGGTTTGTTAAACTCCAATGCACAGACGACGTAGAAATAAAATAGCATAAGATGGCACGACTGTGAAATGAACACGTGACTTGTCAATGACCAAACTCCAATCTGCAGACCACGCAACTGTGCTTTTCTTGGAACAGTTTTTTTTTATTAGCAAGAATTTCACATATTATACATGTGTGATAGGTTTCTTCATAAAACTACCTTTAAAATGATGAATAACCTACTAGCACCTGGCTAGTACTGTGATGGGAGACCTCGGGGCAGCACTGTCATTAAACTCGGATCACAGAATATCTTTTAAAGTGCTGCATGTTTGCGACCCCTGATGTAGATTGTTTTAATGTTTTCGAAAATGAAATTGAATGGAACTATTAAAATCATTAATCATCCTCATCATGTGTACTGGATGCAGCTCTGACTGCCACCCCCCCGACCCAGAAATGGATTAAGGGGAAGAAAATGAATGGATGGATAACTGTACTTATTGTTAGCATAAGTCAAATAAACTTATGCTAACAATACAGAAGTATGAGTAATAATAACATAATAATATATGGACGTGAAAAAGAGATTGATCTAATAGAGTTGAAGTGAACTGCTCAACAAATCCCTGGACTCCCAAAATTCCCATCAATAAACAAAGAAACAGAACAAAAAAACAAAGACCAACAAATGTATAGACAGTGGTTTTATCTGGAAGGAGAGGACCCTGGTCTGATTCTCTTCTTTTTCTGTTTAACAAACTATGTAACAGAAGGCAAAAATATGAGAATTTGTGAAAACGAGTGAAAACTATTCACAAAAGCTCTGTCTGCGCTGCTCTCCTTCAGCAGTGCCCTCCGATGTGTGAAACTAAAATCCATTCTGGCGGGGCCCATATCCTCGGCCGGGCCCCTGATCCGCTCATTGATCACTGAAGGCAGCTGCTTGGGAAAACCTCCGCACAGATGCTAGCTTCCATTGGACATGATCGGGGCATTGATTTCCAGGCTCCAAAACAAAGAGCTGTCATAGCAAAATATTATGTCCATGAATATTTATGCAGCTGCTTGTCTGGTTCAAGCTGAAATAGTTTTTCAGGTTGTCAGAGTTTGTGACTGTGACTGAAGGTTTGTTTGGGAGACCGACACAGTGCTCTAATCAACTTCTTCAATGTCTCCAAGAATAACATCATAAACTCAATTGTGTCAAAAGAAGACATCTGAATGGTCAAACCTTACATGGCTCATATCTGGATTTACAAAGACAACATTTATCCATTTTGGGTCTCTATAGGGGCGAAGAGAAAAATATATACTGTATGTATGTAATTATGTATGTTCAAGGCCTGTATTTGAAAATGTTATTTGTATGACCCTGAAAAATAAAAAATAAAATAATACTTAACATATAAATACCAGGATCAAAGAAAACACTAAACCCAATATTTTTAATCGCAAAATAGTGAGTGTGACAGGGAATTTACACTGTAGGCGTTAACAGTGTGTAAGCGTTGACTGCGCGCATATGCACGTAACATTACTTGGCTGTATGTCCACTGGCCGTGTGCGTAGGTACGCAGCTTTTGAAGCTGTCCCTGTGTAGTCTATGGAGAAGTGTCGAGGACAGTACGGGCCAGAGGACTGATGTAGAGCAACACAAATCACCTACGTGTTTGTCTTCATGGTCTCTGTGCGCTGGTCTGGCCAGACGCCAGACTTTATGAAATGAAAACAAAAAAAATGAACCACTGTAAAACCTGCTGCTCCTCCTTCTAATGTTTAGATACAAGTCCTGTGTGTGTGTGGCGCGGATCTAGAGCCAAGGACCGCTAGAAAAATCCTGTTTCACATGTGTTTTGACTGGGAGACGTGTTACTGCGCACACAAGATTAAAAATGAATCCTAAATTAGCTGCAGCCTTGCGTCATACGTCCGTCATACGCGCGTATAACACTTGTAGTGTAAATATCACCATTGGTTAACATGGTAAAATGTTACGCGCGTCTGCTGCGCGTATAACGTGTACGTGCTGTAATGTCTCCTGTTTAAATTAGCAGTTACACAAACAGTTACTGAGCTACTGTACAGTTTTACTTGCTAGAGAGTGAATGCTTCCCTATTGAACTTCATTGTTAGCATTGACCATCAAGTAATGTTTTTTTTTAGATAGCGCATTTAACAAACCAAGTTTACCCAAAGTGCTTTACATTGTTCAGGGTTCAGATATTTTTTCCATTCACTCCTCACAGTGATGACGGAAGAGAGAGACCCATCACCATCCATTCACTCGCTCATTACATGGCCTCTGCGATCATCAAACGTGACGAACTGTATTTTACACAATGGCTAGCAATAAGCTTCTCCATTCAATTTTAATTACTCCAGTGATGATTAACAGGCATCTTTCAAAAATCAGTGTTTGCATTGAAATGTTACTTTTGCAACCTGAGTGGACTGTTAAAGTGGGTGAAACCTCACAGCTCCATAGTATCCGTTGGTTTAATTACTGGAAGCATTGGTTTAAATGTTTATATGATTTGATGAGCTCTATATAATTCTTGTTTTGGATGTGTGTGGATAGGTGCTTGCGGTGCTGGAGGAGGTCCTGGAGAAGCTGCCGGAGGAGTTCCATATGTCTGAGCTGCTGAGCAAAGCTGCAGAGAGGAGTCCGTACCAGGTGGTGGCGCTGCAGGAGTGTGAGCGCATGAACCAGCTCACTCACGAGATGAAGAGGAGTCTGCAGGAGCTCGCCCTGGGACTCAAGGTACAGAGAGCCCTTCCATGCATTGGTGTAAATCATGTGACTTCACACGGTTCCATAGATACACACATTAGTCTCATCTCAAGTCTTCATCTTAACTGCACTATTTTGTGGCGCCACCTACAGGTGAAAGCCAGATCTCGTCAGACATATGAAGCGAAGCAGGGAAGGGCTCTGAGAACACCAGGTGCACTCACAACACTAGAATTTGTCATTATGTCATTATTCTTTCACTCCATACACGATGGTGACAAGCTACTACAGCCACAACTGCCCTGGGACAGTCTGACAGAAGTGAGGCAACCAGTATGTGTGATCGGCCCCTCCCACCACCACTACAAACCATTCAAACACACACGCACACACACACCCCAGTCTCAAAAGTAGATAAAGTAATTGTGTGCTCTTACTACTGTCTTGCATGCGCGCTGCAACATCAAAACTCCACTTCTTCACTTATATTATCTTAAATAGTGTTTGCGATCATGTCCTTCCCTTCCTCTGAATAGTCGATTCACTGATTCCTCGGCTTTGGGTCGTATCAATTTCATGACACATTTGTGAATCTCGAACATTTTTATTTTTATTTGAACAGTCAGAGATGTATACCCCGCTATTGTGTTATAATGGATGATCGTCTCAGCTATAGCTCCATCAATCATTCATGCTGTATGTGTGTGTGTGTGTGTGTGTGCGTGTGTGTGTTGCCGGAACGCACTCCCTTGTACTTGTATGAATTGTATGAGTATGACAAAGAATGCACCGTTGAAAGTTCTGCTACACACAGGCAGATGAATGTGTCGGAGTGTGTTGAAAAAACAGGTGAAAACAACCTGCCTCTTTTTGCGTCTGTTTTGTAGCTTCAGATGCACAGCTCTGATGGAGTATGATGCCCAAGCCAAAGACAAAATTCTTGTTCTCAAAGGTTGTGTGTCATGTATGGATTGGCCTTTAACGCTAGAACTCCCAGAACAGTCAATATGACGGCTTTTAGTTTTCGAAGTACTCCACTCATGCACATTTTTGATAATCATAACTTCGTCACTTCATCTGTTTCTTAAAGTAGTTTTTCTTATGTTGTTACTTTTTATGGAATGATCTCTTGATTGTGAGATGGAGTAGAGTAGTAGAGATAAACAAGCGCTAGTAACCATAGCAACATAGTGTTAACTTACTACCAGTTTGCATTAGCTTTTCAACTTTCATATTCACTCGTTTTCGCACTCATTACTCCTTCTTTGATTTCCTCAACCATTTGGTAAATCACTTTTTGAGTCACTAAATCTACTTGAAGCTTGGAACTGAAATCTACCTCTTTGGGACATCTTACTTGGTTTTAGGAACTTTTTCCATCATCTCATCTCAAATAACACAAAAAAAATTACTTGTGTTATTAGTGTCCTACATTTTAGATAATCCACAAAATAATAAAATACATTGCTTTCTTCAAGGAGCGAACATTAAAGGGTTAAAAGTGAGTAAAGGTAAATATGAATAAAACTGGTGGTAAACTCACTAACTTTTCAGAATTACATTTGAAGGGAGCAGTCAAAAAGACGGCTCTGGGAGTTCTACATGTAGTAGTTTCATGCCTCTGGGAGAGTAATCAGTGGTAATCAGATTCAGCATTCGATCATGGTCCTGGTGTTTTATCCACTTTTCGATCAGGAGTTTTGCACGTTAATAAACCCATCTCATTTCGGTTCCATCTGTATATTTTGCCACATTATTGCCTTGGTGCAGCGTCTGATAGTCAATGTGCAACCCTGAGCTTCTACCTCAGTATTTGGCACTGTCTGATTAACCGTAAAGCGTGTTTTACAGGTTAGCCCAGATTTTGACATTATTAGAATTAAAATGTATCTAATGAACTTATTGTAGGGAGACAAGTTACAAATATATTAAGTTACTTTTGCCTGCCCGCAATGTAAAATATAATGTCATACACAAAACAGACCCTCCACCAGCTGTTCAGTGGTGCTTTGAAATGCTATACAAATATGTGTTGCTAACCTATCTCCCTAAAACTTTTTTCAATACGTTTTCCATTTTTTTTATTCATACACTGCGGCTGAATTGGTGTGAATCTATGCCTTAGATGTAAAGCAGGTGTTATCCTGTTAAAACAGTGGAGTCAGTAAAGTGCCCCAGCCTAACAATAACATCTCCACCATGATCCTCACATCCGCACACCCTTCCATAAATCGTCTTGAGATGAAAATACCACGTCGTCTGTGGCAGCTGCAAATAGAATCATATTTTGTCTTTATCATGGAATAAAGGCGCATTAGCCTCGGTGACACGGGCCCAGCTAACGGCGGAAGAGGAGGTCAGGGAAAGGCACGTGTGGAGAAATGCCTGCTGTTATCCCCTCATAAAGAACGGTTATGGCTGTTGCATGTGCGCAGTGTACGGTGGCCAGTGAAGGACACACAGCCTCCGGGACATTACTCCTCCCGACAGCGCAGGAGTTATCTGAGAACACTCCCATCTGATACTGTGCTTATATATGCAGCAGAGCTTGTTACGGCTAAAAGTCCCACTCAATCATTCTGACACCGATCAAAGCCTCCCTCAAATCCCTCTGAAATTAAGCAAGATTCCTTCATGGTAAAAAGGCACAGGACACTCAGACTCGTGGGCCAAATCCGGCCCGCCAGACCATTTTTAGTGGCCCCTGAGTTGCAGCATTGATGGTTTCAGGCATGTTTTACAGAACCTCTTTTTGAGTGTATTTATATCAAGAAAAAAAAACATATTATTTAACCTTCACTCTCTGCTTTAGATCTGCGCTGTGTTCCCTTCCCTTCCTTCTGCTGACATGTGGTAAACATGTGTTGTCCTGACATTAGAAATGTGAAAGTAAAGATCCTGTAGTGGTCTGTTTCTGCACAAACAGCCATGTCACACTGGGCCAGATCTGATCCTGGATCAGTCTTAACCCCACATGCTCTGCAGCATCTGCAGCAGTGCAGAGCCCTGAAGACACGTCCCACAGACTATCTGCTCCTGCAGCTTCAGCCTGAGCCGCTTCACTTCAGCCCTGTCTCACTGTGAGCGTTCAGAAAGGTGAATATTAGAGCGAGGACTGCAGCCTTAGAGATAACAGCCAGAGGAAGTGTCCTGAGAGCTGACAACTTTCTGCTCTTTTATTTCACTTCTTCACACGCAGTGACTATTGAACTTAAAGAAGCAGGTACGTTTCATGAACTGTGGAACGTTCTATATTGTCTTCTCTAACAGCTTTGTGGTGATGGCCACCTCCTGTTTGATACATTCTATCATTGTTACATTATTGCAACAATAATCATGCAATAATGTACAATTAACAGTATGTGATTATATTAATAGGATAGACGTTTTTTTCAAAGATGTGTTAGGGTTTGGGTGGTGTTTATTCTAGTCCATATATTTTATTTTTACTTAATACACGGTCACAACTTGCATCATGCCGAAAAATGAGCTAGACCCCAAGCATCCACTCATGGTACTTCAGAAAACGAGTAAATGAAACCCCCAGATTGCTTATGCTCTTGTAACTGTGATCCGTGCAGGGAGAGCTGACCATGAGCAGTGATATGGAGGGCCTGCAGTCCTGCCTGTTCCTGGATGTGGTCCCGGACAGCTGGGCGAGGCGGGCGTACCCCTCCGTGTGCGGCCTCAGCCTGTGGTTCAGCGACCTGCTCCTCCGGGTCAGAGAGCTGGAGGCCTGGGTCGCAGACTTCAGCCTGCCCCCCTCCGTCTGGCTCTCAGGATTCTTCAACCCGCAGTCCTTCCTCACCGCCATATTGCAGGCCTCGGCACGCAAGTATGACCCCTTTTTTTTTTTTCCCCCAACTTTATTTAATGAACATTTCAAAATTTATAGACAGCATTTAGTAATATAAATAATGCGGAAAGGGAACAAAAAAATACAGCCAAATGTCAACCCCCATACCCACATCAGGCCACGCCCCCACCGGGCCGTAGAATTAAACAAAATACTAAAAGAAAGCTTTTTGCTTCTATGTTTGTGATGTGTGTATCTCTGTGTGTTCACCTGCCCAAGGACTTCAGAAAGTAGCTGCAGCTAAATCTGGTGCAAACCATCGCTTCTTTTGTAATGACTAATGGTTTTTGTACATTGTCCTTGTTTTATAAACAATAAACTAAACTAAACTAAACAAGAAAAATATGAAACATAGAAATAAACAATCGCGCATCACCCACATGTACACACAAAGGGACAAATGTTGACTTCAATAAATAACCTATTCCCCTTGTTACACTTGAATCCTCCTCCAGGTCAGAGTCAATAAACTTAATAAAAAGATCCACGGTAACACCACCTTAAGTGAGAACCTCAACTTCTGACCTCTCGTGTTTCATAGTAAGAGTTAAAACGTTTAAGTCACACTTAACACACAATTTGTACTGTTTCTAGCCGCACCTCCAGCAGGTGGACTTCATCAGTAATTGGTGCTTCAGAGGATTCTGGGAACAATACCGTGATTGTGATTGCAATGACGTTATTTTACCACATAAGATCCCATTGTATGCACAAGTGTGGCAGTATTTTTAAGTTCAACATTACTTCCTGGTTAGTCACTGCAGGATGTTAGTAATTATGTAAAGCTATGGCGTGCCAAAGTGGAAAGTTGTTTTAAAATCTGTGCTGATTTGAACTCTGACCAATGGGAGGCGCCAACACCTCTGCCTTGACGTGGTCCTGATCAAGAGTAAGAGCACAAATGACGGATGCTAGTATTTTACCCGTCATGATCATTTAGACAGCGTTAAAACTAAACTGTTGGCTCAGGTGGAGAAGGCTATAAAACTCTGTGTGTGTGTTCAGGAACGCGTGGCCTCTTGACAACATGTGTCTGCAGTGTGACGTCACCAAGAAGAGTCGTGAGGACCTGAGCTCGGCCCCCAGGGACGGGGCCTTCATACACGGGCTCTTCATGGAGGGAGCTCGCTGGGACACTCAGGTCTGACCAATGCCATCACTGATAACACAAATACAAGTACAAACGCTGGAAAGAGGAGGAAATCTGAGTAACTAAAAATCTTTTAATGAAAAAAAGAGCATAAACACGTAGAGGTCCGCGCACCTCTGGTTGGGAAACACGGCTCTAAAGCAGTAGTGAATCTCTTCTAACTTCTACATCATGGATATTCATAGCACTTAATCCTGGTTGGTTTTCCCCTCGGAATGAGCGGCTCTGGGCTGCGATGGCGTCGGCGTGCAGAGAGGCAGCGGTGAAGTGGCTGCTGAATGTGCTGTAATTGCAGTAATGAGGGAAGCACTCTGTGGAGAGATCGTGGTGTGTTTAGTCACAACAAGCACCGCCACAGCACAGGTGCGAGGCAGCTGCAGCTGTGTACGTGCTCAGGCAAATACCGCCCGATCCTGGAGATGCTGCAAAAGCCACGATACCACATCCCTCAAAAAACATTGTTTTAAGCTCCACCTGTGCTAATAGGAGGCACAAACATGTTCTCCAGCCCCAAAATAATCTGAAATAATGTTCAAACGTCTTTCAAATTTGGACTGTGAAGGTTTATTGACTAAATGCAATCAATAGATAAAAATCAATAGATATTTTACTAATTGATTATAATCAATTAGTATCCAACAACTTATCAGACTCGCTCAATAAAGGCAAAACATGCTGCATAAAAAAGTATCTTTGAAAATAGAAAATAAAACCCGTTCCCTGCTTTAAATTCAAATAGGTTTATTAAAAGAAAAACTGCTATATGTTCGGTTTGATTATCGGAATAACTGTTACAAAGTTGTTATGACAAATACTTAACCTTTGATGTCAAGAACAGAACTGTTGAAAACAACAGTGAGTAAACTACAGCTCCTGCTACAGCTGCCCTGTGGCAGACTGATGGAAGAGAGGCAACCAATCTGAGCCAAAGTATATGACTATATTTCTTACATTTGAAGATGAAATGTTCATTAAGATTTGGAAATTAGACCCTGGCAGAAATATTACAGGATGTACAGGGGGTTATTTAATGGAGAAGGTGGTGGTGGAGTTCCGTGAGCCCTGAACCCGGTGAGGGCTAAACCCGGTGGTGACGGGGAGGAGGTGGGTTGCTGCACAAACAGCAGCTTGATACGGGGACTGAGAGCTCTGTTTAAATGTAGCCCTGAAGTGATGCTGATGAGCACAGAAGTGTGACTGAAGCTGAGGCTGAATTTCCGCTTTAGCTCCACATTGAAAAAGTCGTCAAGGGAAGTTTCAGGGCCCCACCTTTACTATCAGCAGGATGCATAATTAGGCTCTCCCACATGGTCTGACCATATTGTTTTTAAGCCACACTTTACATGTGATTAGTGCTTATCCTCTGGCATCTGAAGGCGCCGCGCTGTAATGAGAGCCGTGTTTATCCAGCTCCACTCACACTCGCGCTAACTCTCCTTCTCCTCAAGGACACCAGCGTTTACAAAAGCCAGGCAAAAATATGTATCCAGACTAACTCCATGACAGCAGCAGCAAACACAACTTATTCCACTTATTATGATCAACTTTTTAATAACACATCAAGTGGAATTTGTTATGAGCCGGAGCGTAAAGCCAAGGGCACCGTCTCTGTCTTCTAAGATATTTTCAGGAAGTGTTTTTTCGGGAAGATGAGGCATATTAGAGCATTTAAGTTGTAGTTTAACCAAAGCCTTTCTTTTGTGTGGAAAAAAGAAGCTCTAAAGAAAAGCAGGGATCGCGGAAACCAGACGACTTAGAGGAGTCGAATTGAAGTCATGGTCCTGAATAAACGCTAAATTTTGATCCGAAGCAGCGGAATCGGCTCAGAATATTCCAGATGTTGTGTTTACATGAAGCATTTTGTTTCAGTCAGGCTGTGTGTCTTTTAACATCTTAGCGTGGATACATTTTAGGATAAAATGTTCCTTAAAGGCGCTATACCCATTTCTTCAATGTTTGAATGTTTAGCACCGCCCCCCAACTCGCTCACAGGCTTCTCATTTCCCCTACGCTCTCATAACACGGAGCCACCTAGTTTTATTTGCGATCTGATACGTATGCTAACATTAGCATTAGCGCAACTTCTTGTAAGCTGTGCAACAATCACTGATGAAATGGTACAAAAGCAATGCACTGCTAACACAATATATAAGTAAAAGAATACATCTAGTTTCGCGTCCGAATGTATTAATTTAAAACCTTAGAATATATTCTAATATTTAATATAATTTATTACACAGCTCCTCACAGCAGCAGCACTCCATTGACTTGAATGCAATTCTTCCGATCATTTTTTCTTGATAACAGAACTCACAAACCAATAATGACCGTAGCCCCAATGCAATCTCTGTTTGTAATTCAGGTGTGTAAAATACTGCCATTACTTTGCAAGTACAACAAGCTATCAGCACCTGTCACTACACACTCGTCTGTGTAGAGAAGCCAACGGAGCTAGCGGAGATAGCCCGCTCAATAAACAACTACATATCTATCAATCAACACCATTAAACGTCAATCGGACAATACAGTATACATATACACCCTTAACACACATGCACGAATGATTTCAGAATTTGCTGTTAACGTTTTCATGACAAAAATACTGTTTCAATGTGACAAAAAGCGATTGCGAAAAACCCGGAAGTTACCATGAAACAACTAGCTAGCTCAGCTGTTACCTGCCTAGCACGTCCCGGTGAAACCTTTGGGAGCTAACTATTTTATTTGCAGTCATTAAATACATTTCGAATTACAAGGGTTGTCCAATATTTGTTCACATTTTTTTATTCAATTATTTTGTTCATCATTTTTTATTTTAGAATTATATTAGAATTTTGAAGTCGAAGCCCTGGTGTTAAGCAGTGCTGTAGAGGCTAGAGGACGCAGGCTGTTCACTGCTCGTTCTGTGAGCGGAGGAGAACGAGCGGCCCGCTCAGACTCTACTCAGCACTTTTCACTGCTTGTAATTCTTACACAGCTGAATCAATTACCTCAAGTTTTCAATTAAATGATGTATTATGATACAACTTGTATGTAGTAAAAAGCATTTTTATGAACTACTTAGAAAAAAAATCGGGTATAGCTTCTTTAAAATCATGCATTACATTCCACTTTGACGTGCCCCCTGTAGACCCCAGGTTGGGAAGCGCTCGCTTAAAGAACACATATTGACAAGTTTTAGAGGTGATTTTACCGTTCACCAACATTTTGTCTTCACCTAAACCAATCAGGAGAACTGAGCTTCATCTGTCTGTAATCCTCTCCACCAGAAGACACACCTGCATTACTTTTCTCCCATTATTCCCATTATTTTTCAATGCTGCAGGTCTTCTGAGCAATTGTAAGCCTTTAAAGGCCTGCAGGAACATTTTTATGGCTGATGATTGAATGATTTTCAAATGTTATGATTCAATTGCAGCTTGATGGAAATCTGTTTTTTATGGCTGCCATGGCACATTATACCTTATTTTAAAACTTATTTTCTACATTCACCTTTGGTCCAGTGTTGGTTCAATCCCGAAAATATCATGTTATTCTTATAATTAATAGATACACGTATTATTTTGGGGTGACAGTAGCTCAGTTGGCAGAGCATTGTCCTTTGAGCCTGAAGGTCGATCCACCCACGAGACCTTCTCCACAGACTCCCACTGATGTCTGCTGTCATTGTGTTCAAGACACTCAAACCCCACTTTGCCTGAAGCCCCCGCTGAAAGATCAAGCCTATGCCCTCACCGACAGAGCGGCCATCCTGATTGCAGCTGAATGCGAGCCCCCGACCCAAAAATGGACAAAGGGAAAGAAAATGAATGGATGGACATGTATTTTTTTCCTTATTATTATCCACTAAGACAAATACTTTTATGTTTTTTTCCCCAGACCAGCTATTACTTTTAAAATTCAGCCTCCGAACAAAATAAATTTGCTCTTTACCAGGGGTCAGGAACCTATGGCTCGGGGTCCAGATGTGGCTCTTATGATGATTGTGTCTGGTGCTCAGGCAAATCTTAATCTGAATCTTTTATGCACTGGATTTCTTCAGTATAAAAATGTAATTCAATGAAAGAATAAATAAATTAAATACTATTATCTCACTATAAATGTGTTGATCTTGTTTTTAAATCACACATACTGTATATTGCTCCCACGGGAGTACATTTTTAAGTAGGAGACCTTTTTGGCACTCTCAGCTGAAAAGGTTCCCGATCTCTGCTCTAAACCCTGGTCCCCTCTGTCCTCCTCAGACCGGCCTGCTGGCAGAGTCCCGTCTGAAGGAGCTCACCCCCTCCATGCCTCTCATGTTTCTGCGAGCGGTGCCACTGGAGAAGCAGGAGCAGCGCAGCCTCTACTCCTGCCCCGTCTACAAGACCCGCCAGAGGGGACCCACCTACGTCTGGACCTTTAGCTTACGCACCAAAGAGAAGCCCTCCAAGTGGACGCTGGCCGGGGTGGCTCTACTGCTGCAGATATGACCAGGGGATACATCAATACGTTTGTCCATGTGTTGTTCTCAGCTCAGGTCTTTTTTAGAATGATTTCTCAGGTTTAACATTATTGCGTCTTTGGGAACTTTCATTATTAGTTTTAAATGGAGGATATATTTGTATTGTGCTTTTTAGAAATGTCATTAATATGTACTGTAACTCTAGTGGCAGCATTTAGCTCAGGGACCGTTTATCGAACTGGTCTTCACTTTCACAATTTTCAACTTTAAACGTACAGAGATTCCTTGTTTATGGCGGGGGTTATATGTTCTCAAAATGATCCGTGATAAGTGAAATCATAGGAGAAGCTCTATGTTTTGAGGCTCTATAACCCCTCCCCTCACACTCTCCGATGTAAAACCAAATATCAATAGAAAATAACTCAAAAACTTATTTATTAGCATTTATCTACATTTTCATTAGCTTAGTCTAGATTAGTTGTGTTTTCCTGATGGTCTGTTTGATTATTTTACAATTTTTTCTCAACAATTCATTCCTCAAGTGAAAAAAATCTCATCAAACGAGTAAAAAAAAGAAAGAATTCAAGTCATTTTAAGCAGAGTACCAGTCTTAATTCAAAAGAATAATGTAATGCAATGTAGTTTATATTAATAATCAAAGTGCGAGTTTTTGGGATCAAGACCTCAGTTTGAGAATCACACACTAAGACCGTGGCCATAGCCCTATACACTTTTTTAAGTGTATTAAGCTGCATTGGCTTCCTGTGGCTCAGAGGTTATATTTTGTCTCCCCATGACCTCGCACCAAAGTACATCTGTGACATGTTAGTGCCACATAAACCAAATCTAGAATAGTCTTCCGGAAAATGTGAGACAGGCTTCTTCTCTGACAATGTTCAAATCCAGGTCAAAAACAGTTCTGTTTATCTGTGCTACAACCGAGGGATTATATCTTTACTCTTTTTAATGTACTATGATTACATATGACTGTCTCTATCTTGTTCTGTTCAGCACTTTGAGTTGCCTTGTGTATGACTTGTGTGATACAAATAAACTTGCCTTGACTACTTGCTAAAGATGAAATCACTTTCTTAAAGTATGGGAATCACATTGTACGACTTAGTGCATTAGTTACTCTTAGGGCTGAGAGCTGATTGGCTGAGTGAGGGCAATTCCTAAAGCCTGGAGTATAGTCACGCGGTGCAGAGCTTACGGTGGTGACGTGACATCACTAGCGTAACGCAAGGATCACCAAAAGACCCTTGCGCATTCTGCCGCGCACCTTAAAAATGTCTAACTATGCACCCGGCACTGCAGAGAAGCTTTGCTGTGATTGGTCCGTGTGTCATTACTTTCTGGGAAGCATGGAGCGGCTGCAGGAACATGGACGAGGCACTTCGGAGCAGACTGCTTCGCGCTTCGAAGGAACCGAAGGAAAAGCAGTTTGGGTTCACGGCTCAGAGCCTGATATACGCGGAGACTGTGGACTAGAGTTCTGTTGCATATCTAACTTATATATAACTTATAAACTGTGCAGTCGTTTCTTTTGCACTGTTCCTGTCTTTGTTTGAATCTGCACTTGTATATTGCGTCTGTTCCGTTCCTCCTGCACTTGTAATTAGTTTATGTTTGTCTCAGATATTTACCACTTATTGTTTTGCAATTTGTGCTGAATACACTTTAATAATAACTATGTTTCCATCAAGAACTGTGCATTTATTCACAGCATCACAGTTAGATGAGTTGAAACGATGACTTTAGAACTATCACATAAACCTACAGTAGAAACATCTCAAACAGCTCGGTTTGTTCATGTTTTTGTTCTGAAAAGGAGAAAGTAGCAGCGTAAATGTTACGGCTTTGGTTTCTCGGGAAGCTCTTGAGAGTTCGCCACATGGTTGGGTGTGGGATTACAACATTCTCTTCAAAACTACGCAGGGGGGTGCACTCGGGTGTACCGGCAACTGTGGCTACGTAGGTCCAGCACAACCGCAAACGTAACCAGCGCCGCGCGGGTGTAAACAAGCCTTAACTGTTTCCATTCTTTTAGCAAAAATCCATGCATGTGAAAGCTAGATAGAATCAAATAGTTAACTCAGTGTTTCCCAAAGTGGGCGGGACGAATGAATGAACGAAAATAAAGTAGGCTAAATGACACTGCTCGCATAAGACGGACACATTTTTGACACATTACAATCTGCAGTTAGGCCTGAGGTTTATATCAATTACAATGTGGTTAATAATACAATTAAACACCAATGGACTCTGAAAAACAAATTACCAAAAGTACCAAAGGGGGGCCCAGCAGAAAAAGTTTGGGAATCACTGAGTTAACTAGTTACATTTTGAGCCTCTTCCATTGTTGTGGCTTGAAAGTTACCCCAGCTGAAAGCCTGCAGCGGTACATTCGTGAGGGCTCTTTAGGTCTTGGATTGCGCTGGTGTCTAGTCTTTTGAACAGCTGTAATTGGGTGTTGGTTTCGCCCTCTGTGATTTCTTTGTTCTTGTAAACGTACAGCTATAGATTGTGTGAACGTGAAAGTCCTTGAGAAGAACAAGTGTTTGTTGGAGGAGCGGCGTCTGCCCGCGGTGCCCGGCCCAGCCTCCTCACCCTGGATTGGGCCTTTTCCACACATCCTTCACACAACCGCTTATTACAGCTACTCCACAAATACGAACTGTGGAGCATCACTTAGCGCTCTCTCAGCTCCCAATTTACACTTCACAGCAACTTTGTCAAGGTCGGACAAACAATGAATCACTGTGCATTTGGCTCAACTTTGGGCTGTGTGCGTAAACAAATCAAAAACATAAAAAGTACACATAGTTTGTATAGTGCTTTTTGACACTTATTTTGGCTGAAACTGAGTTGAATTTCTCGGCCTAATCTTGATATTTTGATTAGTGTCATTGCCTGGTGGTATGATTAGTCTTCTTTGTATCCATTGGTCACTGTGCATTTGGCTCAACTTTTATAACCTCACAGTTAGGCAAAATGTTGCAGTTTCATGGTGTTTAATTCGGCCCAAAAGCACCACACCGTGGATCGGAGTTTGCAGGTCGTAAGTTGCTGTTTCCTGATATTTGAATTTTTCTAAACTCCTATTGGGGATTTGGATGGAGATACTTCCTTAAACTTGCGTGGGTCCTCACTACGCAGTTCCATTCACTATTTTGATACTATTTCCTTCTTACTCATAGATATTATATTTCATGTTTATGCTCAGCCTCAGCTTTTTGATAACTTTTGCCAACTTACCTGATCTTGTTACTTTCCTGTGTTGTGTTTTTTTTCTCGTCTCCTCCTGGGTCCTCAGTGTGTCCAGCTCCGGTTCCCCACCGTCCTCATCCGGCCACGTCCCGGTCTGTCCCTCTACATCTGCCTCCCAGGAACCACTCCACCATCTGTGTCACAAATCTGTTCTTTGGGTCTGCCATTCTGTTCATACACACATAATAATAATTAAGTACTAATAATGATACTCATGGATTATCTCTATGGAGCAGCTCTAAAGATGTTAAAGCATGTCTTTAAAGCCCAATCTGTGGCTCATGAGACACACCAAAAAAATACCTTGAAAAAAATAAATGAAGATAAGTAAAATGCTGCTTAAAACATATCTGCCTATAGAACAAGAACATAGCTTGACAAGATAAAAACATATATTATATTTATATAATAATAATAATACTTGCCCCAAATGACTTGATTCTAGTTTAAAAAAATACATTTGAAGTATTACTTTTGATCACATACTTATTTCATCTAGTTGTCTAGAAATAAGAAAATGACCTACAACAATCCTTAGAAACTCACTGCTCAGACTTTTTACTCTAATTAGATTATCACGTATTATTATCTTACAACTAGTAAACTTATCTCACATGACTTAACTAAATTCAAGCAATAAAAAAACTTTCAATTGAAAAAATTATATTTTTTGTGAAAAAGTCTTACTGAGACTTTCAACAGTGTACCAGTAGCTCGCCGGCCCCTTTCAGGTAGCTCCCCAAAGGATTCAGGAATGTGACACATTCTTATCCAATTGAACTGCACATGTTTTCATTATGTTCTGTAGGGTTATGGTGCTTTCAGACCGGATCATGCGTTGCGTCGGGTTTCAATGCAAAGTCTATGGTGGCGCGCGTTCGACCGTCACAACGCACGGACCTCTCGGCACGCACGAACGGACTGTTCAATAATGACGCACGGACTTGGCGGGAAAGTGAAAAGGGAGGAGCAGGAGCGAAAAATCAACGCCCACAGGAGATGGATTCTGCTCATCCTTTCCTTGGGACGTTCGTGCGACAACCAATCAGAGAGCAGCAAAGTGGTCACGGGGACATTAGCGGACTGAGCGAGCAGACTGAAAATACTCGTAAACAGCCAAAACAGGACCCACACCAGGCTTCACCAGAACTCAAACCAGGGTTGACAATGGGGGACTCTGTGCTTGTGAAAATATGCGTTGTCATGCTCCCGTGACCTTATGCAACTGCTTCGAGTGTGTTCGCCGATGCGGAAATTCCGTTTAATAATATGAAAACACGTATGGCGCACCTCCGTGAACACAAACTACTGTTATATAAAGCCCGTGGAATGTCTGTGAGCAAAGACACGCTGCAAAGCTGCATATTGAAGATCTGTACACAAGAAGCCGCTAGCATAGCTCTGTTAGCATCAGAGCCGGCCGGCTACTTCCGGTACTTCCGGCTCGCGTCAGGACGTTCTGGTGTGAAGTCCTCTGCGTCTGAAAACTAGAGAACGCGCGTCTGGTGAGCGGGGCTTCAGCGTTTCAGCGTTGGCGGTCTGAAAGCCCCATTATACAGTAATACATATACAACAAATGTTATTATGACTGCAAGAAAGAGTAGCTCTCTGTCCTTTCTGTCGTGCAAAAGTAGCTCTCCAACCGATAAACGTTGGAGACCCCTGCCATAGACTATATTTGCCTTTTTTTCACAAATGTCCAGTTGGTGTTGTGGTTAGACCGCTCTGATGCTGTGACCCCGGGGCAGTTTGGATCTC